TATATATATATGTTGATTTGTGAGAGTTGCTTGAGTTTAATTAATTGTCCTTAATAATGATAGAAGACCAAAAATACACTTTAAAAATAGACTGTATCACTGGACTAATAATGATAGAAATCGTGACTGTTCGTTCTTTTTGTATGCTGGGTAGTTTCAAGTGTGAATTAGATTCATAATTAGTAAGCTTATTGCTTTATTAGAAAAGAACTTCTAATATTAATTAGTATAAAAATTGACCAGGTATCACCATCTCAATGGAAGAATGATGTTTCTTGTTCCAGTTTCATCTACTAACTTTATTGTAAACAAATAAAATATACTAACTTTTGCTAGCTTTTGGGGGGTGGAGTGAGGTGGGGAATATTTTGTGGAATTTTATTACCTTTGCAGAAAGCAGTAATACAGTCTCAGTGGCAGTGGTCATGGGGACAACAATAATCCTAACAATATTTGCTCAGTTTTAACAATGTTAGCAACATTTCTAATTACTCTTCATTTTTGGTGGCAGTCTCTCTCCACTTGAGACAGGTGCTTTTTACAACCCTTATGTTTGCAGATTCAGGAGCTAAACTTTACAGAGATTATGAAACTTCTATATCATGTAACTACAGAGAAGGTAACAAACAGCACTCAAGTATGGGTACCTTAACTGCAGAGTTCTTGTAGTTTGCTACTACTCTATTCAACCTCCCCACAGTAGCATATTAGTATAAATTATAGATGCGACTTAATGGCAATTTAATGTAAGTTATTTAATTGATCCTAGAAAGTGAATAACCTCAGTAAGGGAAACTTGAAGAAGCTGTTCACTTACTCATGCATTCTATATTTTAGAACATCTACTCTGCACTGGCACCTATCACAGTGTGATAGCATATAGGGTAGTGAAGCACATAAGAGTAATAAGTCCCTAGGCCTTCAGGATACAGTCAGATTGAAACAGCACTGGAAGAGACAGGTAGTTCTATAGAATGGTTCATATAGCACTGTGAGGAAAAATTTAGGCTATGTGTTTATTGAATATGGTGATGAGATTTCTGTAAGTATAAAAAATTTTGAAAGCCAGACTGATAAAACTAAAAAAAAAAAAAAAGAAGAAGAAAGAAAAGAAAAAAAGGGGCCAGGGAGATGGCTCAGTGGAATAAGTGCTTCCCTGGCAATCATAAAGGCCTGAGTTCAATCCCCGGTTCTACAAAAACAAAAACAAAAACAAAAACAGAAAAAAAAAAAACAGACTGATAAAACTTACTGTTGTATGATTCCATTTATGTGAAATTATAGAGAAGATAAATGTGACATGAAAGAAAATAAATAAGCAGCCATGAGGAGCAGGGAAATTATGTTCATAATTTGTGCACCAGGTATATTTGACAAAATTTATCAGATTATATGTTTCATGTTGGTAAATTTTATTATTTGTAAGTAGTTCTTTAACACTCTTTTGAAAACATAAATGATACTATAATAAATTATTGGATAGTGAAACAAAAAAAAATAAGTCTTCTTCATTGCTAAATAAATAAATAAATAAATAAAGCAGATTTTGTGTTCACAAATATCTCATTGCATTCAGACTCTATAGTTTCCTAATTATATTACCACATAAAATGTGAAACCTTTTAAGCCTCAATTAAGGTAGGAATAGTCATGTAGCAGAGTTTGTGATACCAAGTGCAAGAGGAACACCTGAGGTCCCGCTCTCTGATAGGTCTGGGGAGCCCATAATGGACTGGAGGGCAGTCAAGCACTCGAGCAATGCATAGATGCGCAGGGAAATTGGTACTGTCAAACCACGAGTTCATCCCTCTGGTTTTCCTTAGAGAAAGTCTCAGTGAAGGAGTGGCCCTTATGCACCATCTTTATCCCTACACCCACAATGTCCTCCAATCTGACTCGTTGTGTTTCCTTCTCCTATACCATCATTGAAAGGGTTTTTCTTACAGGCAACGCAAACCTTAGAATTGTAGCACCCAGTGGTGGATTCCTTTGCCCCATACAATTAGCATACGGTGTTTGACTCTTCTGAACAACTTTTATGCAACACGTGATTTGTCTGGCTTCCACAGTCAACACCCTCCCCCAGTTTTCCTCTATTCTACTTGTCACTTTTCCTGTCTTTCTTGGATAGTTCTTCAGCTACCAAACAGCCTCTTCATGATGGTACCTAACAGCAGTCCTGTCCTGTGGCTTCCAATAGCAAGCTTTTGCCTGTGATTTTGAAGTTTCTAACTCCATGTCTTATTATTATTTCCTGAAGGTTAGGATTTAAGCATACACAACTGTCTAAATTATCTAACTCTGCAGATGCCAAAAATTGAACTCAAAACCAAACTGTTCAGAAAGGAACACTGAGTTCTCAGTCTCCCAAAGCTGTTCCCTTTCCAGTGGCCCTGTCGCAGCACTTCATAGTGCTGTTCATCTTGGGAGCCAGGTAAACAAAAGGCTGGGAGTATCGCTAGTTTCTCATTTTCCTCCCTTCTCACGGCCACCCCTCATGGAGCTCCATCGGCAGCAGCTCCTCCACTCAGTGTATCTGTTTTCCTCCTTCTCTGTTATTGCTGTCACATTTCAGTTCACCCTCACTGCTCACATGGGATGCAGGAGCTTTATGACTATTCTGCTGGGCCTGTTTTATGCTTCTCTACTTATTTTTTTTGCATAGTCATCAGAAAATTTTCAAAAATATAAAGTAAATCATATCGGTCTCCTAGCTTTAGATTTTTTCATTCATTAACAATACAGCTAAACGAAGTATTGGAATTTCTACCTCCTCAGGGATCTGCAGGGTAGGATTCTTACTTAATTTCTGACTTCATCTATGACCTCATCTCCAACTTTGCGAGCACACCCAGCCCTTCCCCCAGTCTTATTTTTCCTCAAATAAAACAATAAACTTCATTGTCATTGTCCCATAGAATCTTTCCATGAGCTGCTCTTTTATTTTCCTGAAATTACTCCCCTATCAGATGTTCCATTTGTTGAATATGTCAGAACATTTGTCTCCAACATTTTAAATGTTAGCTTCTCAGACAGGCCTTCTTGACCCACCAGGCTGAACGCTTCTTTGCCCACATTATGACACCCCTTGTCTGCTCTTATGTCACTTTCATCATGCACGCTGTCACTGCCTGCGAGTCCCTTTCTTGGTGGAGTCCATCTCCTGAGCATTAGAAGGGCCAAAGTGTAGCCAGCATTTTTACTTAATAATTTTTATTAAATAGAATAATTTTTGTAAATCATAAATTCTAAGTAACATTTTGAGGATTATTAGACTCCAATTTTAAAATTATGTATTAACTCATATTGCTATCCCAAATCAGTTTCATTAAGTTAATTTTTTAAAAATGTATTTAATATAGGGTCTATAGGGTCTCACTACACAGGTAGGACTCATAGTGATCCTCCTGTTTTCAGCCTCCCAAGAACTGGGATAACAGGTGTGTGCCACCATGCCCAATGTCAGTCGCTGTCTCAGTGTGCCCCGGGG